CTTTTACCCGAAAAATTTTTGCCTTCTCAAGTTTGGCAGGTTACTTCTGGGACACCCTGTATGTACATATTTACAAAATGTGGTCTGTATGCACCCACAGTAAGTTCCCATAAAACCTAGTCTAAATTTAGAACTGAAAAAAACGAGCAAATGGGGTCGAACACTACTAGCTTTAAAAGCATAATTAGGAAAATGTTTGAAGAGCTGAATCTGTATTGCAATAATAAAAATAACAGTGCATAAATTGGAAAAATGGTTCTTGTTTTGCTTTATAATTTTTGGGAATATTGGTTTAGATGGAATTTTTTTATTCGTTTGGTTTTTCAGCTCATTAATGATGCACCCAGGGTTGCATTTACTGTCTATGAAAATATTTCATGAACCCTTCCAAAATTAGCTCCGAGCGACTAAAAGTTGGTTAAGCTTAAATGAAATAGTTTTTTATTAAATATTTATTCCTGGTATTTAGTAAAAAACATTCAGAACAATACTAATGTATGAAATGAAGTAAATAAAAATCTACGAATACATTTCTTGAATATTTTGTCACAGAGCCATTATTAAATACGGACATAACTTTGTCGGGCGTTGGTGCTGACGTATATAGAGTTAATGCGTTAGAGAGAGATAAGTATACAAGCTCAACGCGCTAATTTAGGTATACTTGTATGTATATACCTGTTACTCGTCTGGCATATACTCCAAATGCGAGAATAATGACAATTATAACTTATTTGGATTCATATTTTAGCTAAATATTATGTCGTCGCCTGGATAAAAGATTGTCACAAAGTACTTTCGGTAACTCACGATTGTAGTTTGGAATGCATTTTCTCAGAAACACGACTACAGATCTTCTCCAAAATGTCGGAGAATGCTATGTACTAGTTCACGAAATTCTTAAATTATCTTATTTTTTTTGTTTAGTGTCAACCATTTATGAGTTTAATAAAATTTTGTCATATACATTTGTCAAAAAATTTGCAGTCAGTTTTAATGATATACGCAAAAATGTGATAACAATTTTTTATAAATTAACGATACTTTTTACTAATCAGCCTAATTGTGAGTTTCCCACGAACAAAATTTCAACACAACAATTTTTTCATCCACCTGTAGTGAATACACGCAAACGAAAAGTGAAAGTGACCCGGTTCTAGAAAATGAAACTCATGATAAGGCTGAATATGTCGGAAACTAAAGAAGAACAGGTAACTCTATTTGAAAGATCTTGATTAGTTTAGTACGACAGCAATACTAACGCAATTTGTACCAAATAGCCGAAAACATTTTAGTCAATTACTTGGAAACTAAAGAATATATCCAAAAACCAGTTAACAAAAAATCGAAATATCTTACTTTAAAATATATAACTGCATATATAATTACAAATTGTCAAAATGACGCTTCCGGCAATTTTCCATACAAGCGACGATATTTGAATGTTACTCCCATAATTTCGAGCCTGTATGTAAATTTTCTGGAAAAAGTTAAAAAACATATTCATCTGCTGAAAAGATATTTTCGCAGATTCATAATTTATTTAAAGTAAATCTATCAGCCCTATCTCCAATTTCATGTGAATAAATCTCTCCAGTGCTTAAATAATTTTCACCACATTAAATAGCTGCGCAACACCCTAATTGCCGAAAAAGCGTTGCTTGCAACACTAGTCCTTTATGGGGACCAAATTTTGTGAAAAAAAAAACAGCTAAGTTTGTTTACTGGATATACTGAGGTGTTAACCGCTTGAAAAATTGTCGCTGAATGTAAGAAAACAGTATACTAATAAGAAATGAAGTTTACAAAAGAAAAGGGTACGTTCAGTGAGTGAGTGCGTTCACA